ACTGCAGAAAACAATACAAACCCTTTATCTAGACATTTATTCCACAAAACAAACATGTTACACTACATGGCCAAAAACAAAGTCAAACTCTTACTTATACCACCTTTTCTACAGCTTGTAGTCAATCTAATATAACTTTTTTAGCCTTATAGAATGTGACAGTATTCTCATGTTGGGTTCAGATCTCCAGAAAATGAGAGGAAGTAAAATGTTTATTTCAGAGATGTAAAAGAATGTAAAATTGGGTCAGCGTCCAACACGTTTGAGACAAAGATGTCTTATGCTCCTTCAACCTTCTTAACTAGTTTGATCCCAGTGAGTCCTGTGACTGCAATTTTTGTGAATGTGTCTACTTTTGCTGGTAAACTGCTATTTGGCTGACCCTAATTTATAACAGATTGTATTTTTTAACACATCAAAGACAAGATATCCCAAATAATATGTTCTGTTTTGATATTCTTATGTTGACTTTGTTTTGCAATTAATATACATCTATGCAATGTGTCACAAATTGTGTAATGAATATTTTTCGGGACAATCATTTAAAGCTATTTGACCATGTGAATTTATTTGTGTGCAGGCTGTCAGGCTGTCTCATCACTGAGGAAGGTTGGGCTGCTCTGGATTTAGCTTTGAGATCCAAGCCCTCCAGTTTGAAGGAGCTGGACCTCAGTTACAACCATATTGGAGACTCAGGAAAAAAACCTGCTGCAAGTTATGGCCTGAAAGTCCTCAAGTATGAACAACAACTCGATTAGTTTTATCTTAAATGGTCACACAGATGATTGAGATTTGCTGAAACACAATATCACCATTAAGAAATACTTTCAGAGATAAAGTAATTTTTTGATTCACCAATTATTAAAATCTTATTAAAATATCTTGTATATGACTTTATTTTCATTGCATTTGTCTGGAAGTGAGCACTTTAAAATATATTAATATACTTAGATTATGGCAGAATGTGTAAAAACATATACAGAAAATAAAAGACTGCATTTACACCTTTAGATAACTGTATTACCTTTTTTGTAGAGTGGATCACAATGAAGAGACGACAATGAAACCCGGTCTCAGGAAATGTAAGTGAGCCTTTTTATTCAGGGTGACAAGTCAGAAAATGTGTTATAAGACACAATTAATATTTTTTATTCCAAATAGTGTAAATTCAGCTGCATCATAAATGCGATATAGAATATTTAGTAAATTCTGAAAACACTGTCTTTACTATAGATACAGCAGCGGTAGTACAGGTGTGCCCTGACACATTAGGTACCGTCTATTGGTCAAACAAGGCACCGAGTATGATGCAATTTAAACGATTTCTCAAGCAGAAATACATTTAAACAAACAAATGTATAAACATTTACTTAGAATTATAATATTATGACATTTTAGTATTTTGTTACTTTATGTTCTAATTTTATCTTCTTTATGATTGTTGAATTGTGCTGATTAATTTTAAAGGAAGCACCTTTTACAATATTTGCTTCGTCGTGTATATCTATTTATCTAATGCCTCCATTCCTGTACAGATGCTTGTGAACTTTCTCTGGACCCAAACACGGTGCACGGCGAGCTCAAGTTGTCTGAGAACAACAAAACAGTGTCACTGACAAAAGAGGAGCACCCATATCCTGATCACCCAGAGAGATTCGACTTCAGGCACCAGGTGATGGGCACACATGGTCTGTCAACAGTTGACCGCTGTTACTGGGAAGTCGAGCGGGACGGAGCAGCTCAAATTGCTGTGACTTACAAAGGAATAGCAAGAAAAGGACAGTTTGATGATGTTTGTCTGGGAAACAACGACCAGTCCTGGAGTCTGACGTGCAGCGATGATGGATGGTCTTTTCTGCACAACAACAACAGAACACCAATCTATGCCCCCCCCTCCAGCAGAGTGGGGGTGTACCTGGACTGGCCTGCTAACAC